GGATAATGGACGACCCAACTGGATAATCTTCCAGATCTAGGACCTAGAGGCGCTGTTATGACATAAAGGTGCAAACTTTATGCCATTGGAGCCCCCATGCAAGCCATAGAGTGTTATATTGGCCTTTTTAGCCCCAAAAGGTCATGCATGTGGAGAAAGGTTGGAACTTTACGTGTCCAAGTAGTGTTAGGGGATTAGATCTGAAGTCGTAAGCCTTAGTTGGTGTATGGATGGGTTAAGGACCAAGTTCTAGGTCCCAAGGAATTAGGGTTTGAGCTAAACCCTTTAAGAAGTGGTATTAAGGGGTAAAGTCAGAAACTTTACCCTTAAAAGGACATTTTCAGGGTTATTGTGGAATATGAAGCTTGGATCTGAAGTGTAGGGGCTTAGTCCATTAAGATAGCCCAAGCAGACAGGGGAACTCGGCGAGTCCAGTAAGGGACTCGACGAGTTGAAGTCGTGTTGTCTCGATTGTAGGCCAGGTGGAACTCGACGAGTCTGTGAAGGGACTCGACGGGTTGACTCGGTTGACCATGAGTCTGAGTAGTACAGGAACTCGCCGAGTTGGGAGATAACTCGATGAGTTGGGTTGACTGGGAGTTGACCTTGACTATGACTTTGACCAGGATGTTGACTTTGACCAGGGGTAAAATGGTCATTTTACCCTAAGAAGGATTATCAGATTTTGATTAAGTATTGTTGTGAAATTGATAGTCGGGGAGTCGTTGGAGCAGCCGTCAGAGATTCCTCACATACGATTTCACAGCTAGCATTCGAGATGAGTTTCCTCCAGTAGGAACGGATCTAAGGCACCAAGGCCGGCCCGTTTAGCTAGTAGTAGTTCCGGACTAGGATCCGATGCCGGGCGGGGCCCGATGTAGGTTTATATGTTTTATGGATTTTGATCTGATGCTGGGGAGGTCCCGAGGAATAGTTGTATGCTTGATTTCTTTGTGATTCTTGAATGTGTTGTATTGTGTGATTCCGGACTTTGTTCCGATGCCGGGGCGGTCCCGAGGAATGTTAGTATGTCACCAGATTACGGTCCGATGTCGGGCGGGGCCCGAGGAATGTTTAAGTGTTAATGTTATGTGCTTAGGTTTATGTGTATTGCTGATTATGCTCTTATGTATTCCGAGATTTGCTCGATGATGGGCGGGGCCCGATGCCGAATAGGGTTCGATGCCGGGCGGGGCCTGATGCCGGGAAAGCCGATGCCGAGCATGACTGGACGTAGTAGGGGCGGGGCCCAAGATATGTATATGTGTTATGTGTATTGTATGTGGTAGTTGGGGAGACTCACTAAGCTTCATGCTTACAGTTTTCAGTTTTGGTTTCAGGTACTTCCACTAGCAAGGGGAAGGGCTCGGGATGACTGCATGGCACACACCATTGTTTTTAGCCTGGGAGGATTCACTCTGATTTATGATATATGGTTTTGATACATTGACTGATTTGATGATGTTTTGAGATGCATGACTTATGGTTGTATTATGATATGGTTGGAATATGGTTTTCATAAATGATTTTAAAAAGAAAATTTTAGTCTATATTTTGGAATATTTCACTAGCAAAAATATTAGTTTTAACAAAATCGACCACGACCTTCGCTTCATCTGTCCGCGTAGCCTTTGCTTCAACCCATACTGACACATAATCCACTACTAGAAAGATGTACACAAACCTAAATGATGGTCGAAACGGACCCATGAAGTCTATGCTCCAAACATTAAAGATTTCACATACTAAGATCAGAGTGAGTGGAATCTAATTCCGAGAGGTTAAAGATCCGGTCATTTGGCACCAGTCACAGGTTTTGCAAAATAGGAACAAATCGCGAAAAATATGGGGCCAATAAAGATCGTTGTCCAAAACTTTGCGCGCGGTTCGTTGTGGACCATAATGCCCTCCACCAGCTTCAGAATGATAGAAGTTCAAAATTTATTTAACTTCATCTTGGGGCACACATATTCTATTAACTTGATCAACACAATATTTACCTAAATAGGGCCCGTACGAAACATATCTTTTCTCTTCCTTTATTTTATCTTTCTGAGTTCGAGTGAGGTGTGAATGGAGTTCTCTGGAGACCAAGTAATTCACTATATCAGCAAACCATGACGAATTCTGAACAGCAAAAAGATGCTCATCAGGAAAGGTTTCGTAGATCGGTGTTGGGTCTTCATGTGGGATCAGTCGGCTCAGATGACCAGCTACCGGATTTTCTTTCTCACTCCTGTCTCTGATTTCTATGTCGAATTCTTGTACTAGCAGAATCCATCTGATCAACCTTGGCTTTGAATCTTTCTTGGCAAGAAGATACCGAATGGCTGCATGGTCAGAAAAAATTATGATTTTCGTCCCCAACAAGTATTGTCTGAATTTTTCCAGCGCAAAAACAATTGACAACAACTCTTTTTCTGTGGTTAAATAATTTTGTTGCACGCTGTCCAAGGTTTTTTAGGTGTAATAAATAACAAGGGGGACCCGATCTTTCCTTTGTTCCAACACAACTCCAACAGCATAATTACTCGCTTTACACATAATCTCGAAAGGCAAGCTCCAATCTGGTGGCTGAATAATGGGGGCTGAAGTGAGTAGATTTTTCAGCAAATCGAAGGCCTTTTTACAGTCTCCATTAAAGTCAAAATTTGCATCTTTTTGCAGCAGCTGGCCATCGCAAATCATACACCATAATATAGCACTCAGAAATTGCCAACTCAAGGAAGCACAGCCCGTGCCATACATTTTTTTTCACATTTTAAGGGCCAAAACTTCATTCCAAGCTACTTTCTTCAATTCTCTTGCATCCTCGAACATGTTTAGCTCCGGTTAAGCTCCAATGCTCCATTCTTACATCCAAAGTCCAATTCCGCATCCAAATCCATAAAAAATACATTAAAATATAAGCAGTACGGGCATTCTTATAGAAAACATACATTGTTCAAATTATACTAAAAAACATGGTTACAAATGCCAAAAATACGATACGAAATCGGATTAAATATAACCAAAATGATGCATAAAAATGCATCCAGCATATACTCCACATTTAACAGTCTAATAACTTGTTTATTTAACAATGTACTAAATTCTTACTCTCTTAAATTCATTTATAATTTCATTCTTCAATTTTATTGTTGACATGTTGTATGTATGATGTGAGAAAATATAGTTTTCAAAAGTAAATTAGGTTTTAGATCTAGATCGAACCAAACGAAAACATGCTGTAAATTACGAATCGCTTGAAGGTTTTAGAAAGATGTTATTAACATCGATTATGCATTTTTACGAAGATCTTTGAAGTAGAGATGAGAAGGTTAAAGTTGGATCAATTTAAACACAATTAGCTTTCTATTAAGAAACTATGTGCCAATGGCCTTTGGATTTACTTGATGTTTGGGCTTCACCACAGTTGTCGCGATGACTTGCAGTAGAAGATGAGCATCATCGGAGGTGAAGGAATAAGACGACATTGGAGGGGAGGAACTCATAAGTGAGAGGGTGGGGGCATGGTGGACCTAGGATTATGAATAACATATATATAATAGAAAAATAAAAAAAAGAAATAGAAAATGTCTTTTTATGTCTGGTAGCTAGGCATGGATGAAATACGCAACAAAATAAATTTAAGAGACTATCCGAATGAAAAACGAAATAGAGACCAAACGTGCAAACTACATCAAACCAAAAGGACCATTAATGTAACTTTTTTAGAAATAATATGTAACATTAGACCTGACAATTGTGCCGTGTTCGGATTGACGGGTTGCAGGTTGGCGGGTCAAAATACACCAATCCGAACACGACACATTTAACTATACAAGTCACGGGTTGGCGGGTTTGGAACATAAACCCATATACGACCCGCCAACCTGTTTACTTATACAGGTTGACGGATCAGATGTGGGTTTCGTCGGTCAGATTCGGGGTTCGTGCGTCAGATTCCATAAATAAAATTGATAATTAAACTTTAAACATGAATAATTAACTAATTAAGTGCTTTACTTATACAGGTTGGTGGGTTAGATGCGAATTTGAAACATAAACCCATATAATGTCGAAACCGAAAACCATGGAATGCCAATTAAAGCTTCAAAAGCTGTTCACAAAGCTATTGAACAGGAAAGGTCTAAAGAATGGTGACAAAAGGCAAATATGGATTGTCAGGTAAAGGGTAACTAGGTCTGAATTGTTACATGAAAGAATGTATATTCAAAGGTCTACTTGATAGTAATAAAATATCACATGATATGTATGATGAAAAAAATGCAACATAATGGTTTCTTGTGAGAATATACATTACATGGATGGTACAAATATTGTATGCGTAAGTTTTGAAGTGGAACATGTACTTAATAGAATAATACTTAATATATTTAAAGAATATACAACTTTTTTTTCTTAAAATCCTAAACGGGTTGACGGATTAAACCAGATGTTATTTTAGCAAACCCATATATGCCCGTTTAATAAACGGGTTGACGAGTTGAAAAGCTCAACCCAAACCCGTTTATCTTCGTATCGGGTCATGAGTCGTGTAGAGACTTGTCAGGCCTATGTGACATCCGGATTTATAGTTTCGTATATAGATGGATCAACATAAAATATAACGAAAATGCTACTAATTTATACGATTCACACATGGAAACATTTTATACTAAGTTTGACAAAATGTGGCTGCGATTACAAGTAGAATAGATTAATGAAAGGGAAATTATCCTCGTCCGTTGACATAATAAAAAAAGTTACCAACAACTAGGACATAAATGATAATTCATAATATATTTCATGTCAGAATCTTTCATTGTATCTAATATAGCAATCATCTTACATTTTAAACAAAGTCTTTAGGATTAAGATATGTAAAATATAAAGATTGAGTTAATTATATATACATGCATCCCCTACCCCGATTATATATTAGCACTTCAAAACGCAAAGTCTTCATGCTCACTAAAACAAATTAAGCTGTTTACTGAAAGATTAAACAGCCAAGCATGACGAAAACAGTCTTTCTCTTCCTCTTCTGTTGCTTGATGAAATCTTCCGTATCAAAGAACACAATTCAGGATCATCTTAATAGAGGCTCGTTTCTCTCTGTCGATGATGATGCACACCTCATAACTTCCCGTGACAACACTTTTACCTGCGGCTTCTATGGTTTTCAAACCAATGCTTACTGGTTTGCAATCTGGTTTACAAATTCCAAAGATCGCACTGTGGTTTGGACAGCGAACAGCAACAAACCTGTCAATGGCCATGGCTCAAAGTTGACACTTCATACAAACGGTGCCATGGTTTTGACTGATATAGATGGCACCATTGTGTGGGGGACCAACACAACGTCCACAGATGTAGATCGAGCAGTGCTGCTGAATACTGGTAATCTGATATTGATGAACACGAAAGGTCAGATTCTTTGGCAAAGCTTTGATTACCCAACTGATACTCTTTTACCTTCTCAAACATTAACGAAGAGCAAAAGCTTGAAATCTACTTTAAGAAAAGGTAGTTTTCAACCTGGATATTATAGTTTCAGTTATAATAGTATTAACATTTTAACACTGCTTTATGATGGCCCAGAAATATCAAGTGTGTACTGGCCTAGTCCTGATCCAGGATTTAATATTTGGGATTACCGAAGAACCTCCTATAATAGTAGCAGAATCGCAGTCTTTAATGATTTGGGTGTATTTAAGTCAAGCGATCTGTTGCGGTTTAATGCTTCAGATATGGGTTTTGGGATCAGAAGGAGGTTAACCATGGACTACGATGGTAATCTCAGATTCTATAGCTTGAATGAATCAACAGGATTGTGGTCGATCTCATGGCAAGCTGTTGCACAACCATGTAATATCCATGGAATCTGTGGGAGGAACGGGATTTGTGTTTATGGAGGAAAACCCGAATGCTCATGCCCTCCTCATTATGAGTGGAGTGACCCAACTGATTTTAGTCAAGGTTGTAAGCCTACTTTCAACAGAACATGTGTAAACTCCACAAGGTTTGGATTTTTGCCAATGCGGTATACTGATTACTTTGGCTTTGATCTAAAATTCTCATCATCCATTTCGTTTGAATCTTGTAGAAACATGTGCTTAGCAGATTGTCGTTGTCAAGCATTTGTTTATAAACTACCAGGTATAGGTGATTGCTATGTTAAAAGTGCTCTCTTCAACGGTTATCGGTATCCTAAATTCGCAGGAACCATCTACTTAAAAATACCACTAGGCATGCAAACGCCAGAATCTGCCTCAATCCCTACTGGTTCAAAGGCCACATGTGCAGATGTCCCCGTTACGATTGGTTTTCCATCTATGTATGAATTATCTGGAGGAAAGGTGAAATGGGTTTATCTTTACTCGTTTGCTATAGCTTTTGGTTTAGTTGAAGCTTTGGTTATCGTAATGGGCTGGTGGATATTCTATGGAAACAACGAATTACTAAAGAACCTAGAAGAAGGGTATCGTATGGTATCTAGTCAATTTAGAGGGTTTAGTTATAAAGAGCTGTTGAAGGCGACACAGAACTTTAAGGAGGAGATAGGCCGAGGAGGATCAGGAGTTGTGTATAAAGGGATTCTGGAAGACGAAAGGGTGGTGGCTGTGAAAAGATTGGGAGATGTGAGTGACGGGGGTGAGTTTTTGACAGAATTGAGCACCATAGGTAGAATCAATCACATGAATCTAGTGAGAATGTGGGGATTCTGTTCACAGAGACAACACAAACTTCTAGTTTACGAGTATGTAGAAAATCAATCTCTTGACAAGAGATTGTTCTCCACGACTTTTCTTCAATGGAAAGAAAGGTTCGAAGTTGCCATAGGCATTGCAAAAGGCTTGGCTTATCTACACCATGAGTGCCTAGAATGGGTGATTCATTGTGATGTAAAGCCAGAAAACATTCTTTTAGATGGTGCATTCCAACCAAAGATTGCAGATTTTGGTCTCGCAAAGTTATCTCAAAGAGGTGGACCAAACTCGAATTTCACTCAGGTCAGGGGGACAAAAGGGTATATGGCTCCGGAATGGGCTCACAACCTGCCTATCACAGCAAAAGTTGACGTATACAGCTATGGCGTTGTGATTTTAGAATTGACGAAGGGAATTCGGCTTTCTAATTTAATTGTTCATGGAGGAGAAGAGGAAGAATCAGAGCTCATGAGGTTTGCAAGGGGAACAAAAACAAAGATTCGAGAAGAAAAAGGATTATGGATCGAAGAGATCGTTGATCCGAGGTTGGGAGGGTTATTTAGTAGGAAGCAGGCCGCAATATTGGTTGAGGTCGGGCTTAGTTGTGTTGAGGAAGATAGACATAAAAGGCCTACAATGGATTCAGTAGTCCAAGTTCTAATTGATTGTGAGCCAGAGTAGATGCGCTAAAAAGAACTGCACTTTAATTACTTTTTATGAGAATGTTGGTGTTTATATAGGTTAATTATTATGCGTTTCTGGTTGCACTTTGCTTGTAATTAGTTTCCTGTTTGTATTTACCCTTAGCTCTTGGATTTATAAATAGTTTTTTAGTTTCATTTATATCAAAATTTGCGGTTTTTTATGAGTTTTGTAGCTTTGGCCATACCATGTATCATCTCTTTACATATGTTGCATGGACATGCTAGCTCCGAATCCAAACTTGCATGGCAAGCCTTATTTTCTGCGTGATGCAAAGAAGTGTTGAAGATTTGCAGTTTGTATGGAAGTCCTTTATTTTATAGGCAACATTCAAGATTATGTGTCGTTAGATAGTCTTTTAGTTACCTTGGGATCCTCACTTGTAAGGACATATATATCATTCTATCCAATTATGATCTTCATATCGACTTTCAGCCATCCTATCCCTTCTTTTCGGAATTAAAGATTAATAGAGGTAGTGCTTTGTGGTCTTCGCATAGGGGTTTTCACTTAAATTTCATTTATTCTACTTCGTGATAGTATGTGTCCATCATGTTTACCATATACAACATTTGGTATTAGAGTCATCATCCTGGATTTCATAAAAACCCTAGTCGGCTTTCTTCACACAAACTCTCATCGATTTTTAAAAGAATAAAATCCTATAATGGGTTTCTTAATCAGTTTTCACATTAATTGTCTGTTATTATTGCCTTCTATAATCGATTGTATCCCTTAGCCTTATCCAAATTGTAGTCGATACATAGATATGTTACCTTAAAATCGATTTTTTCCTAACCTTTTATAGATTATAGTAGCACTATATGTTTTTGGAAGTAAGAGACATAATGATCGTTCTAGAGGAGATATATTATATTGAATTGACCACAATCCATGAGACTTTATTGTGGATTGAACTAGATCTATTAGAGTTCCAAGATATTGTACTTTCATTAAAGAACTATGATAGAATTACATAATGATGGGTTTATCCTTAAACCCATATTGACGTGGTGTTCTAATAATTGGGTGGTAGACATTTCTTTATCGGATCTGCTAGCATATTACCGGTGTAATGTGTTCGATACAAATATTATTTTCCACACTTGCTCTGAAGCGAACAAGTATTTTGTATCGAGGTTAATCCTCATTCCAGTATAATTATTGCTAGTGGAGAAAATTACAGAGGAAAAATTAGAGCAATAAGTTTTCTTTTAATGACCTTGAAATATAATTTACGATTATGAGTCATGTGATTTAATTTCTCAAAAACATTCCATGGAAAGTTTCATTATTATGAAAACAAATTTCTCCATCATAGTTGATATGGTCACCAACTTTTATATATATGACTCTTCCATGTTATTGGCGAACTGATAGCGTAAAGATGTATCCCAATAATGACTATTTATCTTTGCATGTATAAACTTAGGCATACATAAAGCTTCCAACTACCGAAGTATAAGATATTAACTTCATTTGATCTCATTCTACCTCTGTTTTATGTCATTAAAATAAGCTAACACGCCTTCCTTATATCTTTTTACTATACACTCGATATATTCCTTTTGGGACAATCCTAAAATTCCTTGAGTAAAAGAGATTTTTCATATCGAGGTGATATGATAGCAAGTGTTTTTATTAATGCAACATATCAATGTTATTACTCACCAATTGCATGTTATCTATATATAGAACAAGCATGATAAATTTCCTCCCACTCATCTTGAGGTATGAACTTTAATATGCCTAATTCTTAATGAAGGCGTTCCTCTTTATGACTTCGTCTAACTTTAAGTACCATCGACATGAAGCTTGTTTTAGCATATATAATAATTCCTTGAATTTATACACCGTATGTTCTTGACCCTTAGAAATAAAACCTTTAGGTTGGGTCATGAAAACATATTTGTATAATTCCTTGTTAATTAAAACTATTTGCCGTCTAACTGATATAACTCTAAATCAAAATAAGCTACAAGGGCCATTAGGATCCTAAAGGAGTCATAACGAGAAACCGGTGATGAAGTTTCTTGGCGATAAATAACTTCTTTTTGTGTGTACTCTTTAGCAACCAATTGAGATTTATATCGCTCGATGTTTTCATTTGGATCCAACTTAGTCTTAAAGACCCACTTGCCTCCAACGAGCATGCAACCCTTCGGAAATTCAACAAGTTCCTAACCATCACTCTTTTCCATGGAGTTGAGTTTATCAATCACAACTTCATTTCAATTAATTGACTGATCAAAAATTATGGAATATTTATACCTAATCGGATTATTTTATTTCCTTATGTCAAGGTCAACCTCATTTAATTAAGTTATGTAATCGTCAAAGTTTGTGGGTTGTCGTCTACCTCACGGATAATTTCTTATAGGTTGTTGAGTTTAAAGGGATTCATTGTCAATCTCTTAAGTGGGTTCATTTTGTGGTGTTTCATTTGAAAAGTCTTTTCATGAGACAAAATATATTGAATTGAATCTTCTAATGAAGTACTAATTGTAATGGGCACTTGAATTATATGTGCCTCTTATTGAGATTCTTGGAGGTCAAAATCACTCAATAAACCACTCCCACTAATTTTGACATTCTCAAGAAATTCGGTGTGCTTCGTTTGTATAATTTGGGTACTATATGAAGAAACATAAAATTAGTAAAATTTAAAGCTTCCAATATACCTGATGGAAAAAACAACTTATAGTTTTCATGTCGAGTTTTGCAATTGAAGATTCTAGAGTTTTGCTCCAGCCGGACAACCATACACCTTTAGATACCATAGTCTTGGTTTCCTTCTTGTCCAAATCTCAAAAGGAAGTTTTTGGAAAAGATTTTGAAGGAACCCAATTCAAGATGCGGATTGTCATTTTTAGTGCCTTGGCCCATAAAATGTAGGGTAACTTAGTCTTTGCAAAAATACTTTGCACCATGTCCAATAAGGTTCTCTTCCACCTCATGAGAACTGTAACGTCCTAAAAATTCAGAGTAAAATATTTATTTTTAAAACAATAAACCATACGAATGAGTTGTTCCAAAACCAATCGAAGTGATTACATCATTTAAACATCAGAGTAAAAATCATAAGTAGCTAATACGGAAACTATGGAGGATGTTGTGCTGTCACGTCAGACCCTTCGCTTTAGAACCGGAAGTACCTGAAACCATAAATATGAAACCTTAATCACAAAGCTTAGTGAGTTCCCCAAAATACCACATACCATACATAGAATAGAGATTTCTATGTGCCAACTATAGTCTTATAATTGCCATTATGCCATGAGCCATATCATGGTCTTTCCTTGCCAAGCCGGGGGCCAAAACATGGGTCTTACAAACAAGTGTCAAGAGCTACCTCCTGATCTTCCATGCAAGTATCACGAAGACAACTAGCATCCTACATATAACTATCAGGGTCTAGACCCTGGTCTTGCATACAAGTTTCCGAGAGCCACTTCTAGGTTTTACATGAATTTGCCAGGGGCCACCACCTGGTCTTCTACATATCATAATCCAGTAGCCTGTCATTGGTTCCTTCGACCCACAAGTACAATGAGGAGACTCACCTCAATATGAAGATAACTGAATCTTACACACGTTGTTGCTACCAAAACTTCCTCACACTAAACATATCAAAACCAACCCTAATTAAGAATTAGGGTAATAATCATAATCAAATGTCTATTGCATACTCTCTCTAGGCCAAGTAAAATACCATTCTAGCATTTCCAAGCTAGTCCCACCAAACATGATCCAAAGCCCAAAAATGACCCAATTCCACTTCTGGGAGTACGCCATGCGTACTCGTTCTCTATTCCATGCGTACCAAGCTTCCACAGAAAATGAGAAAAGCCCCGTTATGTGTTGCGTACTCAGGGGTTATGCCCCACGTAACCGAACAAATTTGCAAAATCCTTATTAAGCTCTTAATAGCTTAAGACCACACAGACAACACCCATATCTGACTCTAATGGACATCTAAAATCATAAAGTTCCTGACTTTATGACTTTGCAAGGGTTAATAGAGTCAAAACTAAACCCTAGATACTTAACATTCTCTAATGATTCCAATCCCTTGCCTGGCTGAAAAGCAACCCTCAAGATCCCATTTTTATGATTTAAAATCCTCAGAAATGACAAGATATGACAATTACAAAGCTCTAAAGTAGCTTTTACTCACAAGAACCAAAAACATGGGACCAAAAGCATGTAAAAATCTAAGCTAACCTAGATCTAAACCAAGGAATCATAAAGGTTCAAGATTTATACCTTATGAGGCTTGCAAATGGGATGGAAGTTCTTAATCTTGAAGCTCCAAGCCCACCAATGTTTATTTAATGGATTCCTTCTTCACTAAACACAAAAAACTCACTCAAAATTCTCAAGATGATCACAAAGTAGATAGGGTTTCAAAATGACTGCTTTGGGGAGAGTGGAGGCTGAACATGAAGAGGCCTCAAGAGACTTAAGGTGTTTAAATAGGGTCTCAACCCTAAAAACTTAGGGTTTTCGAATCAACATGAGTACGCCCTACATACTCCTTATATATGCCCATCGTACTCAATGAAGTCCCCACCATCTTTAATGAGTTACACCCAGCTTACACATAGTGCATGCCCCGCATAAGGATCAATTTTGCAAGATTTTGATATTTTAAGCTGAAAATGAAAATACCTAGAAAGCGGATGTTACAACTCTCCCCTACTTAAATTAGATTTTGTCCTTAAAATTACTCCCTACTACTTCCAGGCTCCCCCATATGATTCGGACAATCCTTCCAGGATCCCGATTCGAACTAAGAAGTCGACTCATACAGACGATTGCCTCCCAATACTACAATCAGAACCAATATTAGTAGAACTCACATATCCTGACGAATAACGAATCCTTGATCCACTAACTTTAACCAAGTAAGAATAACTATCACTACTCTGATTGAAATCCGGAAATCCGATACCATGTCTGACTCCCAGACATACAAA